GAATATCTTCCGGCGGCGCGTCCGAATGGTCGGACAACCGAGTGTGGTTGTCGGGGAATCACGGGGAGAGAGAGGTTCTATCCAGGAAAGTTTTAACGGCGCTTCATTAAGCAAAATAGTTTCATACGGCGATCGAGGCGCGCGTCGGTATTCGACGAGAGAGAGGAGAGAGTTTGAACGGAAGAGGAGGAGGAAGAGGACGAAACCGAGTGCACGACGACCGAGAGAATAGAGCCCCGGCTTGCGCGTTTGCTAATCCAGCAGCTCGCAGCTCGGAATTGTTTCCGGTTGCAACTAGGCGTTTGCCCGCGACAATAATCACTGCCATTCGACGCGCGAAACGCCGGAGAGGAAACATTCGTTGCGCGCGACAACGGCCGTGGATGGCAAAAAGCGAGAACGGCGGATTAATTCCGCACTCTCTCTCGCGATTTCTCTCCGGATATTCCGTTCTCGCTGCGCGATTTGAATGCGATCGTTCGTGGTTATAACAAAATCCGAGTGTTTCGTCCAAACAATATTAGATCGCAAGAGACGCAAAGTTTCGCATGAAACTTGTTTTGTTAAAGGAGAAGTATCTAGATAGTATTAGAGTGAGAAAATTGTGACAGATGTTGTTACATCGATTACTTTTTCGATATTTACGACGCCGGGTGCTACAAATGAATAACACAAATCAAATGACATGAAATTGCTTGGAATTATTAAATAAAAATATATATGCAAGTGAAACATTGGATGCTTGTCGATTTTTCAAAAACGTGTTTCTATTTTGTGACGTTTAAATCTGTACACAAAAAAACGCGAGAAACAACAGAAAAAATGCTGAAAATATGTTTTTTTATTAAAATATAAAAATTATAATAATTCTCTGTATTCCAGCCCTTTTTCTTTTGCGATAAGATGAACATATCTCATCGTGTAACGTTTATTTGACACGTAATACGATTGTTACTTTTTGAAACGAGAATCGGAGGAAGACGCCAGCAATGTTTTTTTTTTTTTTTTTTTTCCGATTCACACGAGTCACTGAGATGATGATGTTTTTAACAAACAAACGGAGACAGTTCAGATTTTATATAATAAATATTATGAGCATAGTAAATCTGATTTCTTTTTTTCTCTTTATTCTCTAAATATAATTATACCTCGTTAACCTCTGCTTTGCTTGTTGGCATAATTAATTATATCCGAACAATATACCCCTCGTATAAATAACGTTCCTTATTATCTTTTCTCTTTGTTTTCTTCGTAATTCTTCTATACTACCTTCCACTTCATTAATTCACAACGGCGCATCCTTTAAAACGAAGTTTTCTTTCTAGTTCTCGCGAACTTCGCCCGCATTATCTTGTATTTTGATATCGTCCTAACCGGGCCCCACCCCGCTCGATGCATTTATGTAACTCCGAAGGCGACGTGCAATTATCATTTTTTTAGAAAGTTACGGTACATGCTCAGACGCGAGTCGCTGCCCGGGACGTTTAACGACCGGCAATCAGGATTCAGGGGACGAGGGATCCCACCACGGTTTCTCGCCTGTTCTGCTCCCCTTCCCGGTTCGTCTATTTTCCCAGGTCGGCTTCTCTCTCTCTCTCTCTTTCTCTCGCGTTCTCTCTCGCTCGTCGCGCCCTTTATAATTCTTCGCGAAACATTTTTCTCTTCCCACCCCTTTTCATCTCCCGCGCCCGCCCCCCTCATTCTCGACGCCCATCCCGTCGTCGTTTGCATAAAGTGAGCTATCCGCGCTTTTAATATACGCAAATGAAGTTACGCGCCGGAACTAATCATATTTGCATGCGGAACAGCAATCTCCTTTGAGCTCTTGTCATACTTATTACTCCAGTTTAGTCGCTAGAGAAAATTTTATGACGAACCGCGTTTCTATACAGACGAGCCCCGGCGATTGATGGCCGTTATTCGGAAGGAGAGAGACGCGTCAGCTCTTCTTCTTCGCTCAAACTCTATTTTCCTCTTTCGACGCGTCAGCTCTCGCCTCCGTTCGAGATTAACGCGCGATTTAAACGCGCGTCGTAATCGCAATATTTGTCTCTCACTTTGTATTTTCACGCGAATTAACATTAATGACATGACAATAAAATCACGGAACAACAGGTCGTTCGTCGAACTATTGTCTCCTCTTCCGGAGAAAATCGAGCGCAAATAACAATTTCGTAGGATTCGAGAGAGTGATCATAATTGGTTACATTCAAATTTGTCTTTCCGGTTATTTTCTTTCGACTATGGATTTTCCATTCTCCGCGTAAGTTTTCCCCGCGAGTCGTGAATCTCGGCGACAATTAAAACTTTGTTCGATTAAAGTTACATCGTAACACAGACTCGTTCATTAAGGATTAACGACGTCGGCCGTCTCGGATGCAATATGACAATGTGAAGCAAACGTCGTCGTCGTCGCAGCCGGCGGGTTTGCGAAACACTCGTCTCTCCTCTTGTCTCCCTTTCTCTCTCTCTCTCGAGGAAGTCCGCAACTGAACCCGAAGAGACGTTGTATTCTTGTCGGTATTCCCGCGGAAACTTCCGGAAACGCGACGTTTGTCGTTCCTCCGCAATCGCGTTTAATTAATTATCGATCGATCCGCCGTGGGCGTTCAATCGTGAATAGCCGTCCCATCGTACTGACAATGAGAACGGAACCGGTATTATATGACTGTAATCGAAAGACGCAGTCCACAATATAATGTGATTTATCGATTCGGCGTGTTGGATTTAACAGCGGGACGCTGTTTCACCGGCCTATTCAATACATTAAAATCGGAATTCTATTAACCGTCAACTATGTGTGCGTGTGCGTGTGTGCGTGTGTGTATATTAAATTTGCGATCCGAAATAGTTTTCTAGAAAATGCAGCTCTCACACAGTATCGCAAAACACGAAAGCGATGGAGTTTTTATGACAAAAGTGGCCGTCGCGTAATTTTACATCGTGAGCGTATATCACACGCGCATGATATTGCGATAGAAAGTTCGAAAGTAATATACAGAGAGAGAGAGAGAGAGAGAGAGAGAGAGAGAGAGAGAGAGAGANGAGAGAGAGAGAGAGAGAGAGAGAGAGAGAGAGAGAGAGAGAGAGAGAGAGAGAGAGAGAGAGAGAGAGAGAATGCGCGTGTTATTTGAGAACATACAACATATAGTGTACGTATAGAGAGTCGCTTATGGTTATATAAAATTAAATACAAAATTAGATGTACGCGAGAAGAGTTGACGGAGAATAATTACAATGAAAATATTAGCATATGAACTATTTTGCATGAAGTCATTTGGAACACGTACTACGATAACAGTCGCGTGCTACCACATGTGTGTGTGTCACGCGTATTATATTATTTTAGCGTTATATAAATTGAATGCTCGATAATATGAAAAATACCGGAAATGTGACAATAACGTGACGTGGAGGAGAAAAAAATCGCATAAAAATTAGAAACAATTCAAATAAACCGATAAAAAAACCTTTTGCCTTCGAGGGAAGGAAATTTATCGAACCGCGATCAATCGAATATTTTATACGAAAAGAAATTGTTTGCCCAGACGTCTCGCCGTCGACGTTCCGTTGTTCATTGTGTTTAGGCAACTTCAATTTTCCGGGAACTCCGGCCGATGCATTCGACGGGCCGCATTATCATTGACTGCGATGCAGCCGCATTTCGGTCACGCACGATCGAGTATTATCGTCATCATTGGCTATAGCGGCCATTCGTGAGCTACCGAGCATGCGGAGGGTAATCGCAGTCTGGAGAAGCGCTTACAGAATATTGCTGCCCTGAATATCGTATCAAGAGAGAGAGAGAGAGAGAGAGAGAGAGATACACGTATCGATAACGAGTCGGAGATAAATACGCATGCGTGCTTCTAGAATCCGCTGGTGGAAAAGATTAGAAGATTCGGAAGCACCGACGCTAACCGACGTCGAATACTAATTGACATTTTCTCGTTTTTCTCACACCTTTCTTGCAACTTTAATAAGTCGAATGATTTAATACATCGATAAAGCGAAAAATAATCGCGGAATTTAATTATAATATACAATTTTGATACAAAAACTTACAAAACTTATCTTTTACCACGTCTTTAAAAATCTTCTACAATCTCTTCTAAAAATCTATCTACTAATCTATCTATTAATCTATTTACTAATCGCACTAACAATCATTTCCTTTTCTCTCTTTGCTTCCAGGTCTAGCTCGCCTGTACTAACACCCCGTCACTAACAACATGCATCCCTAATTACTCCCCCTCGCGCGATTAACTCCGATCGCCGCCAATTCGTCGTCAGCGAAATCGTACGTCCGCGGATCGTTCCGCGCGGCCACGTTCCGGAGCGATCATGCGAATCTCCGAAAATGCGCAGAACCAGCAGCAACGGCCTCAAGCTCGACCTGACGGAGAACACGCCAGGTAGCTCGTTGTCGCGGCTGCCGAATCTGGTCGAGCATGCGGAGACCTGCCAGGCGCTGTCCGCCGGCACCGGTGAGAATTTGAGCAGCAAGTTGCCTAACGTGGTCGAGGGCTCGATGGACTATGGTAGCGAGCGCAGGTCCTCCCGTTACCTGGAGTACCAAGAAGTCAAGTCGTATCAGGAGGCCCAGTCGTCGGCGGCGCCAGTCTACGATGGGGCCTACCACGATCAGTCGAGAGGATACCGGAACTACGAGCGAAAGGGAGGCGTCGGCTTCGACCGGGAGAACCTCGACAGATTCGACAACCGGATCTACCCGGAGGATAGTGGGCTGAGGTACGCCGAGCGTCGCGTGGATCAGCGAACCTATCAGGAATCGGACCTGGACGCGCCTTACGATCGGACCGACGCGCAGAAGCTCAGCCGAGCCTATCCCGAGCTGCAGGACTCTAGCAGGAGATACTCACGCGATCTCACCGACTACGAGTACGCGTCCCGATACGCCGAGGAAACGCTAAAGCTCGAACCCAAGAAGGATCACTATCATCACTCAGGCAAGATTTACGAGTCGACCGCCTCCAAGGCCTACGAGTCGGGCGTGAAGACTCACGATTCCACTTACGATCTCGGCAATTGCTCCACGCAGCAAGAGCCGCCAGTCAGACAGTATGAAAGCAAATATCACTCGGTCAGCAAGATGTACGGCACCTTGCCCAGGTACGAGAGCAGCAAATCTTATGAACCCACGTACGATTCCCGGCCCGCCTTCGAGCCCAAGTACGACGAGCAGTCGTACGAGAGCGCCGGCAAGAGCTACGAGTCCAAGTACGAGCTGACGAGCTCGAAGAGCTACGAGAGGTCCAAGTACGAGAGCACCTCGTCGTCCAGATATCAGGACAAGTCCTATGATCAGACGCTCAAGATCGGCGAACTGAGTTCGTCGTCCGCGGGCGCGTACGTCAGGAAGCATCAGGATCAGGAGGAGACCAACGCGGAGAAGATGAACGGATACAGGAAGAATAACTTTGAGGCTTACGGTGTCTATTCGGATCCCGAGGACGATCATGGTTTTCTGCCGGAGAAAAAGACGCCTCAGTACAATTACAAAGGGGTTGTGGTGAACGCCAGCGGCGAATCCGCGGTGGTCGATCAGAAACGGTCTAAGGACAGCAGGCAGACCGAAGTTATCAGAGGTCCTTGGTGCCGGCCGACCATACTGCTGCTCCTGCTGGTGCTTCTAGTCGTTATCTTCGTTCTCGTCGCCGGGATATTGTTGTATCTCAATTGTGAGTTTGCTTTCAGTGTTTATATATTACTTCATGTATAACGAAGTTTCTTTCGCAAGTTTTTGTTTTTACGTTTGATTTGAAAAACGAATGTTTTTTCGCGCACGAATGGTAACTTCTTCGTTCCGTTAATAAAGGCATGCCGTTTGTTCTTGTATACAAAATGTGTCCTAGATACCGAGCGCTCACCCTCGAGCACAGACTCTCGAGTAAATACGTACACGATTTATATTCTCTTCTCAAGGACGGGGGTCTTTCATTTGTCTCGCTGTTTTCTAAATTTCTCTTAAGCTCTTACATGCAGATATAAAAAAATTGAAGTTTACTCAAAAAAAAAAAAAAAAAAAAAAATTAACTTGTGTGTCGTACGGCGAATCTTTCTTTAAAATTTACAAAAGTAACGTCTGAAGTGAAGTCTTCCGCTTCTCTAAATACAAAAAAAAAAAAAAAAAAAATTATCTCAACCCTCAAGACATCCTGCAAGTTTTAATATTCCTTTCTTCTCGCGAATGGCTTATTTATCTCTCTCTCTCTCTCTCTCTCTTTCTTCCTCTCGACGCATTCGGTATATTGCGCTCGCTGCTGCACATTTTATTGTCGCGTTGCAGCGTTCGTGAGCCGACTCGGCGATCACAGTCACAGGGAGCGATTTACTTAATGAGCATCCGATACCAATTATTTACGGGGAGTCCGCGCGTTTGCAATAGTAATGGCCATATAGCGTAACAACACGGACGACGACGACGACGACGACTGCGACGATGTCGGCGACGACGACGACGACGGTGACACGTGCCGACGATACGTTAAGCCGAAACGGTTACTGTCTCCGCGGCAGTTTTATGTGTCGAATTTGACATGCCGGGCACGTAGAGACTTGCCACTAGCGAAACTGTTCGGTCGGAATTACAATGCGCGACCGGGTCGAACGGAGAAAGGCAAAAGAAACCGTAGGTAGGTTTAAGGAAAATAGGTGGAAAAAGAATGACGGACCGTCCGTCGCGGGGGGAGGCGAACCAATCCGTTTTCGTTTCATGCGCGATTGTGTTTGTCGAAAGGGTTGACCGGCGACAGAATGACGGAACGCGAAGTCGCGTTGCGCACTCGCTCGCCGGGCAAGAAGCCACGGCAATATTATATGGTACGAAATAGGAACAAGAGATGGGAATCTCTTTTTTTTTTTTTTTTGTTTTCCTCGCACGCACCGACATTAATAATACATTGACAATATTGCGCCAGAGAGGAAGGTTTCGATAATTAATTAGCAATTCCACGCGCAATAATATAGAAAAAAAAGAACTTGCGAGCAGCACTTGGTTCGCGTCGGACGAGGCTAATCGAATAACTTCTTCGATTCGCACGAAGAATCCCAAGCGCCAAAGTGAACTCGCTAATGGATTCCGTGGAAAAATTTCAGACGGAAAATGTGCGGAACGGGTGAGGGAGAAAGAAGGGGATATCAACATTTGGACGACGGACAGTTTTAGGTGCGGCAACATTCGCGAGCAAAAAAAAAAAAAAGAAAAAGAAGCACTCCGCGCACCGTGTGAAATATTGCGTTACACACCACGCGATGTGGAAAAAAACGTGTGTTGAAGTACTTTTCTGCTTACGCGGTTATAAACATGGTCAAGCCCTATATCAAAACCAGGATCTTTTCTCGCAGATAAGCTTGTTACCGGATAGCGCGGGATCATAACAGTTTACAACCTTCGCTATTGCAGTCACGCCGCTGTCTCTCCTAGTTTGCATGGATGTTTTATTTCCAATTATTTCAGTGGGTTGTAACCTCGGCAAAGTGAATACAGCGTTTTGTCTCGTTTTTGTTTTTTTGTTTTTTTGGTTTTATGTTAAAATCGCACACGCCATATACCGCACGCGTCATCAACGTTTCGCGAAATACAAAATGACGTGGAAAAAAAAAAAAAAAAAAAAAAAAAATGGCGAAAAACAATTACGCGATTTTCTGCAAATATTTGACGTTTGACTTTTTATGTTTCGGGAATACATTTCTCCTTTCCCTATAAAAAGATTTATTGTCCGTTTCCTTTACAGTTCACGGATCGCATGTTACACATATAAGAGAGAAGAGGAAGATACACTCCATCTCTCTCTCCTGTAACGACGTTCTAAAGGAACGCGTATCGTCCGATAAAAATTTATTCTTCCCTCTTACGTGCACGGTACATTTGCAGGAAGCGAAAAGAGAGACGAGGAAAATGAATGTATATAGGACAAAAGAAAAAGCAAGCGACTCTTTTTTTTTGTTTTATTTGTGTTTATTTATGCGAAATCAACTTGCGGTGGATATCTATCAAAAATGACGTCGGAATTATATATTTATTTTATTTTGTATTTTTATTCAACGAGAAATCTCTTTTACGAGTAATTCTACGAAGGGATTTTGCGAAAGAAGCTCAAACATCATATTGTACGTATTTCTCTCTCTCAAGATTCTCGCGCAAAAATCTACATCTCTCGCGAGTATCTCTCGGCGCGAAGGTGGATTACATTAACAATCTCCGTTCGCCCTTCTTTTGAACATTTTTCCGGATCTCCGCCTCTGTTTTTCACGACGTTTATGAGACAATGGCGGGGACGCTTAGGAGCTTCCGTCGCGCCCGCGAAGAATATAAACCGTCTCATTGCGCGATCGGGCGGACTCCAAGTCATCTGCGCGAGAAACGAGTTTCTCTCTCGCGGCGGATCTCTCGTGCACGCTCCGATCGTATTTACAGTCGCGCGGGAAAAGCGGTCCGCGCGCGATCGTATTTACAGTCGAGCGGAAAGGCAGAGTCCTCCCGTACATTATTACTCCGAGGCGAGTATAATAAAACTAAGATGCCGCGCCTCACGATCACGCCCGCATTTCTGTCTCTCTCTCTCTTTTCCTCTTTCGAGTATCGGGCGTATATACTATTCGATATAGGTGCTACACATTTTTGCGCGGTTTATGGAATGTTGCCGTTGTATTTTACGTTATGGACTTTATGCCCGCAACGTTTTTCACTTTTCCGCTTTATCCGCGGAACTCCATTAGCGAGGGGTCTAGAGATGAAAGCGATCTCTTTAGCGAAGAGAACTTTCGGCGAGAACTTTTAGCGGTCACCGTCAACTGCATTGTCTTGCGTGACTAATTAAATAAAAGCGTCACACTTGTAACAAACACACGTTCTCAGACAGTATGTAATATATTGTGTTAGAAAAGCGCGCGACAAAAAAATTGATATAAGCGCGGTTTGTTTAAAATCCGTTCGAAGAGCTGACAAGCGCCGGTCCGGGTTTCAGAGAGGAAAGAGAGAGAAAAAGAGAGAGAGAGAGAGAGAGAGAGAGAGAGAGAGAGCATGGCAAACTCTTTTTCGCAAATCATCGTGACTCGCCGCCGCGCAAGCCACTTTTTCCTGTCGATGTCTGCTTTTCCGGGCGACAGCGACGGGATCGACATTTCACCCGCAATGGCACGACAATAGCATCGGCCTCCGTGCTTCGGGGTCGAAGAGAATCCTCGAGTGCATGGTTGCATACAGGGTGTCCGTTTGTCGGATGTCACCGGCAGTGATCCTGCTTATAAAAATGTTCTTTGAACGATTTTTGAGGTTTGTCCGATAAACAAAAATTCACGAAACAACACGTTGCGCGACACATATAAGTTGCTTGAGGGAAGAGAGAGATCGTGGAATAATTAATGTCATTCGCGGGGAAACGTATTTGTTCATTTATTGAAAAATTTCAGAATTTTGAAAGTTGATCTGTTTATAAATTAAAATTGATTCGAAAATCAGAATTTTATCACTGCACATCTTCGAAATTTGTAACTTTTCATATTGAATGCGACATCAGTCCATCGACGCAATCTCGTCGTTCCTGCGGCACTGCCGGCGGCACGCGGTCGGAAATACACCCGCCAATTGCATCCGGCGGCGCCGAGACACCCTGTACAGGACCACCCAAGTCGCTCTCTCTTCTCCGTGTATTCCGCGCGGTTGCGTTCGGCGGCGGTCGCCGCACCGGGGCGTTCGAGCGATTCGGGTTTATTTTCGGGTCAAGTTTTCGCCCGGCCGCTTCGCAATCAGCCAGCGCATTGTCCCGCGGACAATACATTCACCGCGACGGAATCCCGGCGCGCGTAGGAATCCCGGTGCCATAACGTCCGAGGCGAGTGAGGAAGCGGTTTGTCGACCCTCGCGTTTTCGACGGAATTTTCGGAAATTCGATTTGGATGCCGACGTGGCGCGCGACGTTCGCAACACGCGGATCCAGCGTTTCGTCCGAGTTAATTGGCGAATTGCGAATTGATCTTTCTCCCGTGTATCTCTCGTCGAATCGTTCGCTCACTAAAAGACGTGGAATTAAAAACAATTTCGCATTTTGTCTTTTTTTCTTTCGCTAAACGAGTTCTCGTCTCTTGGAGATTTCTCGAGAGATCCGTACGTGACAGACGACGCGCTCCGTCGCGTCGTTCCGGAACACACTATATACGCGTCGTCACGAACATGCAGTGCGACGGCGGCTTTGGCGCAGGATCAGACTTTAGTATGTAAGGCACGTGTCCGCATCTGCCTTTATGAGAGCTTCCCGCGATTCCGCCATTTCGTCCTCATTCTGAAGCAAGCTTGCCGCTCGCGCGCGACGCCGATGCGGAAGGCGGGCTCCGGGGTTTCGGGATTAAGGGCGTCGCCGATCATATTAAGGCCGGAGATATCTCGCCCGCCGTTCTCCTTATCCGACGTCGTACGACCCCCATAAACCCCCCGGTCGGGTTTGTTCCACATAAATTACAGGAACTGCCGGCTTCTGGATATATATATAGATAGATATATATACCCGCCGCCGCGGGCGTGCGCTCGCGCACGCGGTGTGTATCTATGTTGATGCAAATGTCGCGAGGGTCGTCAACCCGTTCGCGAGCCCTTGCTCGGAGAATATGACGGATCCGATATTCCGTATAAAATATATATATATCGAACTCTCGTTGCCGAATCGAATCTCGGTTACGATTT